TTCCAGAATGGCATCTACCCCAGGCCTTTTGAATGTTCTCCTCCCTTTGTCGCGCTTCAAATGCCGGGGGGAGAAGAAAAAAAGTGAAATCATTATAAACGTAAACAGTTGTTGGTAAAAAATGTCCCATACGCAGTATTGAGTTGTGCATATTGACCCACTCATCAAAACCTTAACACAGAAAACACTAAACTGCAACTCAGAACTTGCTACCCAAAAAAAGGAAGTTATGATGATTGTTTTTCCACTAAATAAACAAGATGGACACTGATGCGCTACATTACAAACATACATATACTGTCCAATCCAGAGTCTTATGGAGTACACTGTCGTTCAAGTAACAGAAGTGAATTCAAAAGATAAATTTACTTATTTTAGAGCTTAGTAGATTCAAAAGTTACCATGGAATTGCAAACACTTGTTTAAATGCAACATCCTATTAAAGAAATTTATTCATGGTACGTGCATAAGGGTAACTATCACCAACCACTATGCATGAGTATCAAGTTCTCACATTCCAATCAGTATGAAGAAGTGTCTCATTAAGATCTAGAACCAGTGTGAAGACATGTTGCTCTGATGGATGCAAGTCTGGAAGAAGCTTGTCTGAGGTTGGTCCCGTATAACGCTATATGCCAATAATTTATAATCAAAGCAAATATCATCAGTTCAAAGACTAAGAGAATTGTAAAAGAATTAAAATACATTAATTATAAGGCAGATATGGTACATACTTTAATCTGTTCTTCTGCCACCGTCCTTAGATGCAAATAAAGTTCAATCGTTTTAGCAGGAACTGGAATAATAAATAAATAAGAAATTTCATTCCTAATATCATTGATAATCAAAGAAGCGAGTTTCCATTGTATTTCATACTTTCACATCCAATGAGAGGAATTCCTACTCCTTGTTTCACAGAATGGTGAATTGTAGAGAGCATATATGAGAACAAACAAAAGTCACAAGCTATCTGGCCTATAGCTTCGACATTCTTATCCACAGTATGCAGTGGGCAATAAATAAGAATGAGAATAAAATAATTAACACAAAGCAATCCCAAGAGCTCATGCAATAGGAATAATGATTCCACGATAGAAGCAGGGATGAATCAGGTATTACAAGAAGTGCAAACAAAACATTGATAACAGACACTCACCTGTCAAGACACCTGAGTACAGAAAACCCTTACATTTCTGCACATAAAATTGACTAGAGGATGTCACTCCTTTGATATTTTCACTTCCTTAAGTATGAAATTAACAGAATTTATACCCAGTATTTATCCCCAAAGCTTTTTTCTTTTTAATCTTTAGAATTACACATTTGAAAAGTTTAAAGAAATTCATAAGCAACATCAATTACCGGAGCACAATTAAATTGAAAATCTAATTTCAGAGCAATGATTTAGCCTTACTTACATCAATAGGCAATGCATCATCTCCAACTTTATAGTTTACAGATTCGCGGAATGATTTTGTCTTGTGATCAATTTCTTCTGAAGTATAAGCTGCAAATCAATTATAGAACAGTGAAGTGAATCAAAGTCATAATGCTAGATCAATGCACATTCAATACATTATGAGATCTTAAGAATTCGCCATCTACCCGATCAATTTGCGTTCATTACTAACTACTGAACTGATTGGTAATTCTGATGATCTCCATAGTTCTTTCTTGGAAAGAAAGTAACATAAAAAGATGAATCACAGTTCTAGCAATTTTGAAATTAGTTTTGTCGCTTAATCCAAACAAAGTCAGAGAACTTTTGGTTCCAATCATACTTCAACAGTCGAGAAGCAAAAATTTTGTATTCTTCAGTCTCACAACGTAATTCTTACTTTGAGCTAAATACAAAGCATTTTCCAAAAGAAAACACTAAAAGCAGTCCTGAACGTGAGCAGAGGAAGAAACGAACCATTGGTGACATATCCAACAGCAGCAGTAGCCCCCGTGAGAGCCCCAATAAGGCCGTACTTGAGAAACCTCCGGTGTTGCGGAACCTCCTCAGCACCTTCGGTGGTCTGCTTCTCTTTACGTGGGTCCCGATCGTTGACAAAATCTCGAGCTAACTCAATAACAGCGGGCCTAGGTGTTGGTTCAAAAGAAGGGACATCCCATGTGCAAAGCCTTCGGCTGTTGAATCTAGTCTCCGATAAACCTGAGCTGATGCGAGATCGAAGAGCCATCGAACACAGTTTTCTTCTTTTCTTCTTAGATTTGGAGTCTCAAATTCGGAGTTAAGTAAGGTTTTCAAATGAGTCATGGCGATGGCGTTTAGGACGTTGACCTTCTTGTTGGTCATTTTATATTTCCGATTTCTTTTACAGTCATTTTATATTCGGGTATAAAAACGCGGGCGCGAAAACGAAACTCGTTGGGAGAAGATGGAACGTGGTCAACGCGACCACCGACTTTGACTAATCGGTGTATTATTTTATCTTATTTTTTACTTACTAAGTAATTTTATATTTTTAAATATGTTTAAATTACTTCCCAATATAAATGGTTAATGAAATTATTAATTTATATTTTTTAATTAAAATTCATACGTCTCGGTAACAATAAAACAAGTCATACAATCTAAATTTCGGATTAAACTCTCGAAGATAGAAATACTAACAAAATAATTGGTATTGTCACTTTGTGCACCATTACAGATTTTGTACTTCTTAATCTATTTTTCTCTATTTATACTGGGATCCTTACATGTAATAGTAAAATTATTATAAAGAAGTAAAAGAGAGCTGTAATTATTTATCACAAACTAAATAGTTCAAAGTAAATTATGTCCATTCAAAGAAACTGTTATGATTAAAAGAAAAAGAAAAAAGAGTATGAGATTATACAAGTATAGTATTCAGACGCATTAAACCAAAATTCTGATTTCGTCAAATTTATGGAAGCCAAAATGAGTTATATAATACAGGGAAAGAACAAACTCCAAATTTTTAGGTTAAGGGATCTAAATGATGAAGAGAAAGGGAACATAATATATGTACAATATTTTTTCCAGAAATGATTTTGACTTGCAAAGCCAATGTTGAATGAAGTTCGTTGTATTCATCTCCATCACTCTCTATGAACCGTACAAATTCATGTCTTCATAGTTTCCAGAACCGTCCATGCCTATTTTTTTCTTGCATCCATATGCATCATCATATGATCATTTCAAACGGCAGCTCACTAAATTCACTTCTTGTTTTACTTTACGAGTAAAAATTATGGTATAAGTAAAAACAATCACAGAAAACAACTCGTACCTATGATACTTATTTGAGCGCTCGAGGAACTCCTTTGCAACATCCTTTCTTTCATAGGATGATAGCACAGTTCTGATATCAGCAGGAAAATTACGAGCAACATCTGCATAAACAAAAATTTCACCTCCACAATCAAGCAAGTTTAAAGAAGAAAATATCAAAATTATACAGGACATATTCATTGGACATTGCAGGACATTCATATTCAAGAAATGGAATAAGATCCAAAAGAGCTGTTTCATCAAAGTCGAGCTTAAATGGCTTGATTGGTACACAGTTTTCTGGCTGAAGGCTGTTATCAAATGCATAACCACTCACATGAAGGATCTTTGCCGGATTCCTCTTGAGGTTAGAAAGATCCTGCCAAAAAAGATGGTGGTTCGTAAACAGAAAATACCATTTTATCGAGCTGTTTAAAAAGAGGATTTGTGAGCTGAGGAAAAGAGGCTAATCGTATGAAAGATGATGATACGTTACTACAGATCAAGGACCTTTAATCACTTCCTTAAGTCCAAAAGGATATGTTTTTCTCAAAAGAAGAAGAAAAGAAATCCACAAAAGATATGGCTTGTATGTAGATTACCATAAAGACAACTAAAGAAAGAGATTACCAAATGCAGGTAAATACCAATAACATACCCTACAATACTTGCCATTCACATAGTTGGTAGCAGGCCTTGTAAGTCTCGGTGGCGTATGTAGTTGTTTGGATCCAGCTTATCACAAACTATATCAACATACTGCCCCCAACACATGAAGAGAAAAAAAGAGAAACAGTTGATATCATAACTAGTTTCTGAATTTTAACAAAAACAATAATCCAAATGAGTTAAAGTAAATCACCATGTAGTTTTGGTCTGTGTACAAGACAATTTCATAAAACTTAGCAAGATGTTCCAAGAAGGCATCAACCCCCTGCCTTTGAATGTTCTCCAGCCTTTGTCACGCTTCATATGCTAGAGAATACAAGAAAAAAAGTGAAATCATTATAGACATAAATAGTTGTATAAAAAATTGTCCCATACACAACATTGGGTTGTGCATATTAACCCACTCATCAAAACATTAACAGGGAAAACACTAGGTTGCAACTCAGAACTAGCTACCCAAAAAAAAGGAAGTTATGAATGATTGTTTTTCCACCAAATAAACAAGATGGACACTGATGCGCTACATTACAAACATACATATACTATCTAATCCAGTCTTATGGAGTACCTTGTCATCCAAGCAACAGAAGCTAATTCCAAGGATAAATTTATTTATTTTAGAGAATAGTTGATTCCAAAGTTACCATGGAATTACTAACACTTATTTTAAATGAAACATCCTATTGAAGAAATTTATGCATGGGACGTGCATAAGGGTAACTATCACCAAACACTATGCATGAGTATCAAGTTCTCACATTCCAATCAGTACGAAGAAGTGTCTCATTAAGATTTAGAACCAGTGTGAAGACATGTTGCTCCGATGGATGTAAGTCTGGAAGAAGCTTGTTTGAGATTAGTCCAGCATAATACTATATGGCAAGAATTTATAGTTGAAGAAAACATTATTAGTTCAAAGACGAAGAGAATTGTAAAAGAATTATGATACATTAATTACTAACTAGATATGAGACATACTTTAATCTGTTCTTCTGCCACCTTCCTTAGATCCAAATAAGGTTTCCATTGCTTCTATTATATTTGGGATTTAAAATCAGATTTCTGTATTTGGTAAAGCCAATTATTTTATATTTTTACATCCGATTAGAGGAGTTCCATGATAGAAGCATGGATGAATGAAGTATTACAAGAATTGCAAACAAAACATTGATAAGGGACCCTCACCTGTCATGACAGCTGAGTACAGAAAACCCCACCCCTATATTACTGCACATAAAATGGATTAGAGATGTCACAACTTTGATATCTTCATTTCCTTAAGTATAAAACTAACAGAATCTATACCTGTATTCCAAAAGCATTTTTTTTAATCTTTAGAATTCCATATTTGAAATGTTCAAAGAAATTCATAAACAACACCATTACTTAAAATGTTTTTAAATAAGCTTACATCAAATTTAAATTTTTTAAAAATAATTTATTACTATTTAGTAGATAAATATAAATTAAATATTATATAAGATAAACTCTTATTAATAACATATTTTTTAAAAAATAAACATGTTCTAAATCTAAGTAAAGATAAATTTTATTTGAATTCAAATTAATAAATAAAATATTTTATCATTTCTACATTAATCTTCAACAACATTATCGCATTGTCACTCTTACTTTGAGCTAAGTACAAAACATTTTCCAAAAGAAAACACAAAAACAATCTTGAATGTGAGCAGAGGAAGAAACGAACCATTGACGACATATCCAACAGCACTAGTAGCACCCGTGAGAGCCCCGATAAGGTAGTATTTGAGAAACCTCCACTGTTACGGAACCTTAAAAGCACCTTCCATAGTCTGCTTCTTTTTATATGGCTCGCGATCATTTGCAAAATCTTAAGCAAGCTCAACAATGACGGGTTTAGGTGTCAGTTTAAAATAAGGAACATCCCATATATAAAGCCTTCAGCTATTAAATCTAATCTCTGATAAACCTAAGCTCATACGAGATCGAAGTGTTTAGAAGGTTGACCTTTCTTGTAAAGGCTCAAACCCCTATCAGGGATTTAGAACGTTTAGCTCAATAATAATAATATAAATAATACTGAATTTTTCATTTGGTAGAAGAAATTAAAGATTAAAGATTACATTCCTTACGTGTTTACTTAGAATGCCCAAATAGGGGATAAAAAAAGTTCAAAACTAAAACGAAAATAACACTACGAAGTATTCAATAACCTTGATTTGAGATTGGCAGAGCGGAAAGAGATGATTGCTTAGCTGGTTTCTTGCTATTCTGGGTCTGAATCTTGATCATCCTAATATAAAATAGTTAATAAAAAGAAAATGAACTACACTATCTCAATAAAAATATTAACATTTTATCACTAATACAGAAAACTAAAAGGTTTTAAAAAACATAAAATAACCGATTGAGTATAATTTTAATGAAATTCAAATGCTAGTGCATTTCTTATCTGTTTTACTAAAAATGTTAATATTCTCTATTTTAACTACTAGTCTATCAAACACACAACACTAAATAAAATTAGAATGACGATTTAATCACAACAAGCATACATTTTAATAAACATGTAACTTTGGGTTCTTTACTGTTTTACCTTAAATCAGGTTTGTAAAGGCCCGAGACCTTAAAGAAATGAATTTATAATTTAAATACGGAAGCGAACAATAAAGTTAGATTTACATTCCTTACACAATAATTTGGATTTCTCGATAGGGTTATGAGAATGTTTCTTCTAAAAAACAAACAGTAATTAAAGAAAAGTGAATAAATAAACATTTTAAAACAACTTTCACTAGCACTTGAAGGGAGTTCGGGAGGTAAACTACTCACAACTCTTTTACTGATCGAGATCTGGATCTTAGTCTTTTTGATCTAAAATAGTTAATGAAAAGATGAGTTACACTAACCCAGTGAGAATATCACATTAATCACATATACGAAAAATCGGAGGTTGGTAAAAATAAAAAAATAACTAAATAAATACATTTAACTTTAAAATTTTTTATTTGATACTTACTGTTACAGTTTTTCTAAAATCAACATGTGACGACAAATAACTAAATGACATTTTAATTTCATTCATAGGATTACAATTCTTCCTTTTTTTAACCTACTTACTAGGACCCTTAGGGGTCCATAAGAATATCTCTTCATTCGTGGATCCAATATCAAGAATTGATAATTAGACCGGTCGTCCCTATACCGTGTCAGATAATGGGCACTAAAAACACCATCGCCTTGATACTCCGTCCGGTATGAAGATAAATCAAATCTCCTAAACCATTACGGTATGGGACTTATCAGCCTCGTCCGACTGGGGTAATGTCCACATTAGGGTTTTCTATGTACCGGCTTCGTCTGCTCTTTTCCAGGATGCCCATTAAGCTTTTATTTATTTAGATTCTCCAAACAGCCACCAAAGCATACTAACGTCTCATGTCATAAACACTTATTAATTTAAACGGCATTTAAGCAAGCAATTTAATTTATCATAACTAATAACCGAGTATCCAGATAACAAGATAAATCATGTAAGAATGGACCAAATAAACTAGATAATCGAGAATACTATAAAAACTATCAATATAAACATGCACAGTATAATAGTAAGCAATTTAGGCAGTACAAAAAAATAAATAGGGAATCAGAACAAATATGAACTAATCGGTTCGTGGCTCCACTAGTGACCTATAATATTTTTAGTATTTTTTAAATTTTTCATAAAACACATAATTATCGATTATTAATCCTCAATTTACTATAACCAAGAATAGGGTAAGGGATCTTTACTCGGATCTGTATTTTAAAATGTCGAACTATCTACTACGCCTCCGAACGTGTTCTGGATTTTTTGAATTTTTTCTGTGGGAGCCCAAAATACTTGTTACGTACTTAAAAATATCTAAAAAAACTTAAAATCGGTGTTGAAAATCCTTTTCGACCAATTTTAGGATTCCAGCATGGAACCACCGCTGTGCTCTGGCGCCGGTTCTGCCACCCACACTGGTGATTTGCCTTGGCATGGCTGATTTTGGCCAGTTTTGGCAAATTTTAGCCGGTTTTATATGCATTTCTGCAAAAAAAAATATGTTAGGAAGTCTCGGTTGGCCAGCAAAATTAAAAAATCGAATATACCAGCAGAGAGTCTCCGGGTACGGCGACTCTGCTGATTCTTCTTCACGACTGGGAATTTTTCTTCAGCTAACCTAAATAGAAAGGAACGACGAACACAATGATTAAAGAATCGCGTAAAACAGAAAAAAGAAAATGGCTCATCAGGGAAATTTTAGGATTTTGACTGCAATAGCTCCGCTAGGCTTTGTCTACGATTTTCGGCTCACCTGTCGTCCCTTTTGCTCTGATATGACCACAGGAAGGTTCGAAATTGAATTTCGAGCAGGTAGGAGAAAATTTTACCTTTTGTGGCGATCGGTCGTGGCTCCAGTGCAGCAACGATCAACAGTCGGCCTTCTTCTTTAGCGTCTTATTCTTTTTCTCCAGCGAGGGCTGGCGGTTAGTGTTTGGGTTCCCCTATAAAGAGAAATTTAAATACTCCTCTCTTCATTGATCCGTGTCGTTCGTTGACGTTGACGTAGAGTGAGGAGAACTATTCGATCATTTCCCGTTTAGGCTGATGGCATGGCTGAATCTCGTCCGTTCTTCACATTTGATCTCATCCATCTTATCAAGCCTAAAGGGAGAATGCATCCAGGCTGTCCACGCGCGCAGGATCAATCCTGGGCAGTTGGATCGCTGAGCATGCGAATCACCAGCGTGTCCCTCTTGTGGCGCCGACGTTAGCATGTTTTATCATGCGACGCGCTCTGGTTCATCGTGGTTGCTGACTTGGTTGTCTCATGTGGTCGAATTTTCTCTATTTGTATTTTGATTCTTTATTTTTAATTTTTCTTTAAAAAACACCTCACAAATTCAAATTTTTACCCATTTTTTCCAAAATTATTTTCAATTTCGTCCCTAATTTTTTTTTCACAAAAATTTAGTAAAAATAAAATACAATAAATTAAATAATTATTTTATAATTAAATTAATAAAAAAATTATTCCGATCTAATTTTCGGGCTTAGGTATACAAC